GTCTTTGGATAATTTTTGAATCCTCAACCGCACCGTAGGAGCTTGTGCAACTTGTCACGATAACAAAGACCCATTTATATGTTTGATCTGGCCTATTTTGACTTTACTATTCCGTGACCATGTCTTGTGCTTCAAAACGGCGCGTCACAATATTGCCTTGGGCTGAGACTCCTCAGACATACTGACGACGCGACTGCAAATTTTTACCATCGACAGGATGTTTTGCTTTGCACATGAATACTGTGAAGCAATTATTGTCACACTGCTACCCTGATGGGTCCAGGAAAACACTCTGTAATTACTCCCATCAATCATAGCAATCATTGCTGGACAACTGTATTTATTGTAATTATAGTGCGACAGCTAAGCATTTCAAATTGAACATGTATTATCATGTATGCCGTGGTGTGTGAAATGTAATTACTCCCATCAATCATAGAAATCATGGCTGGACCATTGACTGTATTTATTGTAATCATAGTGCGACAGCTAAGCATTTCAAATACAACATGTATTTATCATGTATGCCGTGGTGTGTAAAATACTTGTAACAAGGACATTTTGTCTGGACCATAATGTCTGTATTTCTTTTACAGTATTTTCATTTCATCATGGCTGGACCACTGTATTTATTGTAATTATAGTGCGACAGCTATTATTATTATTAATTAGCATTTCAAATACAACATGTATTATCATGTATGCCGTGGTGTATGAAATACTTGTAGCAAGGACATTTTGACTGGAACATAATGTCTTTATTTTTTCTTTACAGTATTTGCATTTCTTTGTACTTTCATTACCTTCGCCAAGAATTGACGAAGGTTATGTTTTCCTGGCCGTGTGTCTGTGTGTCTGTCTGTGTGTCTGTCAACAGCATAACTCGAGAAAGCTTAGATGGATTATCTTGATATTTGGTAGGTGGGTAGGTCTTAATGAGACCTGGAAATGATTAGATTTTGGACCCCCTAGCGGCTTGTTATGGTACTGCAGCTAAACTTCCGGTTTTGATATCTCATGATCTAGACATGCTGGGGTGGCAAAATTTGGATGGTAGGCAGCTCTCATGCTGGTGAAGAAGTGACATGAGTTTGGGCCCCCTAGCGGCTTGCTCAGGAACTGCAGGGCTATCTGTTTGAAAATATTCAAAAGAGGATAACTCAAGAACTGGTGGACGTAACGTCGTGATTTTTGGTATGTAGGTAGCTCAAGTGACGCTTGACATAATTATGCGACAATTATGCGAATCTGGACCTAATTTGCATAATTAATGGGGAAATTCTATAAATCAGGTGCATTACATTATAGGAATATTCAAGCTTGTCACATATGTAATTGAGAAAGAGAGAAAGATAGGCAGATATTGATCATGTAAATTAACACCTAATTTGCATAATTAATGAGAAAATGTTATAATTCCATAATGCTAACTGCCTGGAATTTCATACTTGGGGTATTTGAAAGCTAAGTGAAGGTGAACGTCATTAAACATAACTTATTCAAATAAGGACCTCATTTGCATAATTTATGAGGAAATGATAGAATGGCTTTCTTTGTTAGATAAGGCTGTCTTTTGATGGAGAATATGATCAACTATATAATACAATATTATAATATAGTTTTATAATATAAATATAATACAAATAAGGATTTTATTTGCATAATCAGAAGGAATCATCTTTGTCAGTCATAAAGATTAACATCATTTGGCGAAGGTATGAGATCGTGGGACTCTAGTGTTGCATGAAACAAATTGAGATGACAGAAAAAAATTCAGCCCGGCAACAACACTGATATACAGTGTATAGTTTTTACAACCCTATAAATACTTGGTGTATTGCTGACAGGTCACGACATCAAATGGCCTGAACATCTTCTGGGACGGGAAACACCGTCTGTACGTGTTGGCCAGTCCTGAGCTGATGGGCCGCACGTACGGTATGTGTGGTAACTACAACAACAACAAGCAGAAGGACGACTTCCTCACCAGGGACGGCGACGTGGAGATCACAGCCACTGTATGTACTCTTCTGTTTTAACTTATAAATAATATTGGTCTCTAAAGGCATCCAATGGAAATTCAGGGCAGCAAAACGAAAATATTTTGGATGAGAAAAAAATCTGTCTGATAGTGACATTTACTGCAATTTCTGCACATTTTCGTCATCATTTCATATTATGCGTTAAAACAGTCCCAAAACAGCCATGTGAGGGGTCCCTATATTTTTGTGTACCGCCCATAAATAGGTAGATCCACCCTACCATACAATACAAGAGCAGCCGTTTTCCGTCAGTGACATCGTATTTTTGCCTTTCAGATATCAGTATGTTATCGGATAGGGTACATCAAAAGAATGACCAGAAAATTCACTTTGCAAATCCAGTTTTCCCACCTTGAAATTACTTTGGATGCCTTTAATATCCAGCTGATTTTAAAATGCATGACTCTCCTCTTATCAGTTTGATACTGCAGGTTAGAAGGTAAACCAATGTGTATGAAATGTTCTACAGACAAAGAGTTAAAATGTAACAAAGTTCGATAGTGGTATCCCATCAAAATTGTGCAAGGATAGCCTTTCTCGTCATCATAAATCACATGAGCTTTCTACTGTTATGAGAGAGAAATTGTCACCCTTTCTCTTGACATCACAATAAAGATATCTTATGTTAGTAACACACCACACTTACAATCCACTCTATTAAATACTACATACTGAAAACATGTCATATCTTTTAGAACTTTGAAGCTAAGTGGATAGTCAGTGGTTCCGGACCGAAGTCTGATGAAGGCACCCATCACCCGTGTGAGATCTACTCCCAGAGGAGGAGCACTGCTCTCAAGTCCTGTCAGGTCATCAGAGAGGATCCATTCACATGTATGTGATATCACATTTTGCAAACATGGATGAATAATTAGGCCACACCGATTTAATTCTTTGGTTCTCGGATTTGCTTCTTCATTTCTTCCGATTTGCAAAAAAATCAAGTTCTGATTCAGAGTTAGCTAAAAAAATGCTGACATTTTGGTCATCATAGTTGGGGAAATCTTTTCTTCTCACTAGTCACAGTTTTTCCATCTATCAATACAGTGGTTTGATTAAAAGTCCAATTCATTGTTTAGATTTATAAACCAGTTTGGTTTGTTGCCATGGTTTCTATCATAGAGTTTGGGGCTGTTTTTTCTAGGAATGCCTAGGCTTGTTTTTTCCCTGTTGTTCATATTTTTTCTGAAAAAATTTGAGAACCAACAAATTAAAATGGTTTAGGTTTAAGATTATACTAGATTAAATAGCAATTTGAATTGATTAGAACTGTCAAATATGGCAGTATTGCATAGTCTTGTTAATGACTTTTATGTTCGCTCCACAGTGTGCCATGACTTGGTGAACTTCAAGGCTTACTACGACAACTGTATGTATGACTGCTGCGCATCAGATGCCTCAGATGGACTGAACAACCTGTGTGATGCCATCGCAGACTACGCATTCGCCTGCGCAAAAGCAGGTGCCAATGTGGACTGGAGGAACTCCGTTCCCGGCTGTGGTAAGTGATACTTGTCATAAACATAATGTATGTATATGTCAGTGATACCAACAGCTTCCATGCCTCGTTACCTCCATGAAATGGTGTTGTTTTTGGCATGTTTGTTTGTGTGTGTGTGTGTGTGTGTGTGTGTGTGTGTGTGTGTGTGTGTGTGTGTGTGTGTGCGCGCGTGTGTGTGTGCCTATGTTTATGCATGGTCCTTAGGTCAGGTTGTAATGGATATGGTTGGGGTCAGTGTAAAGACTTGTAAGACCCCATGGTGAACGACAAGAGGACATAGTCACCATCACGAAAGATCTAAATATTTTATGAAGGTCTGAGGTAACGACGCCCTAAGGCATGGCTCGTCAAGATTACTCTCTAAGCAGAGGTTGATGGTGGAAGATCGTTTGCTTTTTATATATGGCCCGGTTTTTGTCACTACCACCACCAGTGGTGCTTGTCGCTACCACCACCAGTGGTACTTTGCGAGTACGTCAAGATATTCCACGTGGTGACTGGGGCAAGTCAAAACGTCGACAGACCCAGTATTAGGGCATGAGGATATTGCTACAATCGGGGGGCTGTGATTGGCTAGAAGTTGAGGAGACATGCACCGCGCACGTGAACGGAGTTTTCCAGAAATTGGGCTGGAATGTCGACTTACCCAGTATTAGGGCATGAGGATATTCCTACAATTGGGGGCCTGTGATTGGCTAGAAGTTGAGTAGACATGCACCGTGCACGTGAACGGAGTTTTCCTGTTTTTGCAATTTTGAAAATCTCACGTGGCTAATCAGTGTTGTATGTTTGATTTCCAGAAATGACCTGCAATGGTGACAAAGTGTACTCACACGAGGCACCCAGCTGCCAGGTCTCTTGCGGGTCTCTCAACTCAGCCTGCACCCAGCAGACGGTGGAGGGCTGTGTCTGTCCAGCGGGCATGGTTCTAGACTACGACGGCCACTGCGTGATTCCTGAGCAGTGTTCCTGTATACACGAGGGCAAGGATTACGAGGCAGGAGAGACCATCCGTCAGGACTGCAACATTTGGTAAGTCGAAACCTTCTGGTGTTTTTAAAAGTGACAGGTTTCGAAACTCTCGCACTCTAGCCGCGCAAGTCATATTGCTGTGCGAGACTTATTGAAGACGCTAGGCGCGCAAGTTGCCTTTTCTTTACATACAAAGTGAACTTTTAAAGCAGCAGCTCAGACTACGGCTTTTCAAGTAAACTGTGTCCCGTCTCTGACAGCGTTGATGGCATCCTGAAATACTGATGGGCAATAAGTTTTACTTTGGATAGTTTGCCGAGTGGGCAACATGCGAAAAAGTACCAGCAAAATAAAAGTCAAACTATATGCAGCATCGCTGATAAGCCAAACTCATACATGACGAAGGTCATCGGCCTCTTGTATTATTGATAACTTAACAGGCCTTTTGAACATAAAATAGATTTTATCAAAAAAGTGTCGGTTTCCGAATCTCACTCACTACCATCATGTCATAGCAAACCCTGTGATATTCAATGTCGTACAATACTAAAAAAAAAAAGATTTCAGAAACAAAGCTTATTTTGTTGCAATTTTGCGTGTATCAACTGCAGCATGCCTTGAAAGGGGGCTAGTCTACCACTCTCTGTCTTTTTGAAATCACTTTTTTTTTTATCTGCATTTACACCCGTCTAGTTTGGGTTTGCGCAGATATGAGAAAGCAGTGTGTTTAGTTGACTGTCCACCATGGTTTGATCCGGGTGAACGTTGTCTTTTCCCGGCTGACACACGCTCATGTCCCACGTGTCCAGCACAACCACGTCTGGATCCGCCCGGAACATCTCTCGTATCACCTCCGTGATCTGGTAAGCCAGCCAGTCGCTTCCTAGCAGGTAGAACTCCAACTTTCCTCCCTTGTGCTCTCGCGTTGTTGCAGTCCTCACGAAAACCCGCGTGCCGGGAGCCCTGCGCTTGAGACGGTGTATTGCGGCCCGTATGGCGTACAGTCTGGACCGGAGCATTTCTGGCGGCTCCGCCGTAAAGTGAGCCCACAGACCTAGGATTATAACCGTGTTTGTGCCTCCGGTAGTGGCGTCCAGCTCATCAACAACGTAACGGAAGTCATAATAGATATTCCAAGCTCCTCCCCTTACGGGGAAGTGGTGAAACCGGTAGCGAACAGAAATGTTCCACTGGCTGTTGTCTCCTCCATGAAGAGCTGCAATAAAAAAAAAATGCACCAGTTCCAGGGTTAAGGCATGGGTAATAGGCCACCGAGTTTTTGTTGAGATCGTTGTTACTTTATCTAAATATATACTTAGGTAACTGAACACTGTGCACTCCGTACAAGATTCCCGAGAACCATACCTTGAACACATAACACCGTGAGCACTGTCCGTTGAAAGATTCCCATTCTCCGTCAGAGCTCACGGTGTTTGTCAGAGTGTATGATTCTCGGGAATCCTTCAACGGATCATGTTCATTCCTTGTGATTGCAAGGGACTGAGTGAGTACATAGTGTATGTTATAACACAAAACAATCAAGTTGTAAAATAGTGACAACATAGTTTTCAACAAAAACTCGGTGGCCTAGCGCCTGTAGTTAAGGCTGCTCGAAATGCTATCTGCATGTCGACTTTGATTAAAAAGTATCGGGTAACGCTTTTGTACAATAAGTACCACTTTGCATGCTTCATCTTTAACAATGTATGAAAAACGTTTTTAGAATAAAAGCAGCCCCAGAGAGGCTTTTTACGAAACATTGACAAACCTGTAGGATCCATGATACTCTCATTGTAGTGCAGCGGTACTACCTTCTGCAAACGCAGGCTCCATTGTCTGATCGTGGAGTCACCTAGTTAAAAGAAGAAAAAAATAGTTTGATTCACGTTTAGCTGACGGTACGGTATTCTCTAATTTGCATAGGATGGATAAAGTGGGTAGGTTTTCTTCGCTTTTGTACAATAAACATTGGACTACAAGTTGTAGACTGCGTTCGCTACCATATACAGTATTAAAATTTGAATGAGCAACATAATTACAACTGATACGTGGACCTTCTCGCCAAGAAGTATAATCTTTGACCACTAGACCACTAAATGATACGTACCTTGCATGTACACAGTCTTGTTAGCCAGGCACCGCTGGATGTCCTTCTGGGCGAACACTCGGACATTGCAGAGGGATGACTTCCAGATCTTGCCTGACCAATGTCCCAAAGCTGCAGACTTGTCCCAGGTACACGCTGGAAGGTGTTGAGGTGTGGGTGGTTCTGCCTCCAGGACATGTATGGTGTCATTGGGGCCTACTTGAAGTTCCTCCTGTAGATATGGCCTGTGTGCATGTTTCGTGGAAATGAGCAATGTATCGATGAAATGAAATTCTCCATAACCCCATCTGTATTGAAGGTGATGGCCATAACATTTTATCCGTTATCTGTAAAGATGTTTGTGGAAATATATGTCAAAACGTACTCACACTGATAGCATCATACAATGTATGAGGACGAGGAAAATAAACTTTTGCTGTCGCTCGCTGAATGACTTACGTTTGGAAAAGTTTCTTTTCCTCTTGAGACACAAGTTCCAGAACCTTTGCCCTGGTTTTGCTCGGATTCCACCGGCACTTCGAGATGGTCGAACACGGAAGTTTGTCGACCGGTTTCTCGCAAATCCAGGTCCCGTTCACCGCCGGTTTTGAGAAGTCGCACTGTTGGTGGGATAGTAGGCTGGGGTTGGCAGAGCTGAAACATTGCCTTGTATAATAGGCCTTCGTATTATTTGGGTCGACGAAGATGCACTGGAAAACCCTCTTGTTTGGAACTTCTCGCACTCTCTGTAGAGCCTCCACTGCCTCGCTTGGATGTACGAGTTGAATCTTTACCTGATAATAGCAACACAAAACAGACCACGTCAAGGAGTTATCAGGCTGTAGAGAAAATATATTTTAATTGCTACTTACATTTTTAACATATCTGTGACTGTACTCACCAAAGCTTCCCCTGTCCAGTAAAGCGGGAACTGCACAGTGTAGGTGCCGTTACAGTGGTCAATGACGTGACCGGCGCTACTGGCCTGCGGCGAACGGTCACTACTGACCAGTCTGGCACGGAAAAAATCTCCTCCGTACGTCTTCGGCCTTCCGTCTTTGCCCCTTGCCACCACCCTCACGGTCAGAACGTCTCCTTGGTGATACAGGCGGTCTCTGTTCAAGACGAGTATGTGTGTTTTGTTTGGGCACGTGACCTGCTTAAGGTAGCAAGTAATGCTTTCTTGGGCTTTGACTTTGGGCCTTGACCAATGCAGAACCTGGAAATCTAAAGCCTGTGTGACAGAAAGAAGATTACGAAGAGTGATGGTGTTACATCATAATGTTGACATTTCTTAACACACATTTCGTGGTAGTTAAGTTTTAATCTGTTAGCCCTGTTTCCAACACCAAAATTCCCACTGCCACAGCCATTCTCAGTATGACTGTCTCACATTTGAGTCCTGTAGTTGGCTAAAGAACCAGAAATTGCCCCCCCCCTTTCAACTACATGTAAATTGACGGTCCCAGTATTGTTAAAAGGGTACTCATATAAAGTTTAACGCTCCTTTACATTTGTATGTGTTGATTTGTAGTTCAAACTGCATTTCATCAATAAAAAAAAACGTTCGTTGGTGTTTTTTGCAACAAAAGTCTTTTGAAGTACATCTAACTTCCCCCAATGGTGTGACCATGGTAATACTAATAGTAAAAGACAAACATACCTTAAGGAAAATCACCACAACAATCAGCACAGAAAATGCAACATACATCCGGACACTGGCCATTGCGTGCTCTCCTAGTAAACACAGTGATGAGAGCACTGGTTGGAAAACACTACACAGATTTCTTTGAGTCTTTGCATTACAAAAGACTGTATTAAGTAAAGCGGGAAGTGGGTAAATCACAGAGTTTGTTCATAAATCTCGGGAAACTAAAAAGTACGACACCGTAAGTTGCGATAACCCTATATAGAGAATGCAGAAGGCTGCAAAATAAGAATTCTGAAAATAAAAGGACAGATTGTGTAGGCCACGAATATATAACCTTAAATATGACCTTACCTATAAAATTTTCTAACTTAAAATACAATCTAAACAAGAAGCCATAGGCGACAATTCTCCGTGAAGTATTATATATTGCAACAAAAAGAAGTAGCCATTGGCGACAATTCTCTGTGAAGTGTGATAAATCGAACAAAGAAAAATTGTTTAAACGCGCGTCGGCTCAGTCATCTTAAGACGCAACAACCAATCAGAGATGCGAGATGCCTACACGTGACGCGGGAAGGGCGCGCGATGCCCGAAATATTTTTGCGTCAATATTCAGCGCCGTGATTCAAGAGATTAATACCCGGAAACAATTTTTTTCTTGTTTTGAACGCATTAACATGCATTTACGCTAATCTAGTATGATTCAGGGTTACTTTTTTTTTAACCTGCCATGGCCAGATTATCTAAAGATGTGTGTATTGTGTGTACAATCTATAGAAAGAGAAATGTACATCAGGTCCGATCATCCGATTTTCACGTTTCGGTTTTTTGGACTCGGTTCATGAACGTATTTTGGTTTGGCTCCTGGAATGTGCGAAAAAAATGACTCCCGGGACTGTCTACAGGGAACACTCGCACATTCGCGGTGTATCAGGACAGCGCGACTGGTCGTCATTAGCGCAGTAACAATTGCATAAACGGACGAAACCATTTCAAAGAAATGGGGATGTTTCGAAAATAAGCATTTACTCCAATATCAAAACAGCTACGGTAAAAATAAAAAGACGTGCATCATCCCGGACATAATGCAACACCACATGCGAAATTACACAGAAATGCGACGTACGGAAGAATGCGTTTTGGCTGCGAACATCTTCCAAAAAACTTGGCATCTCTTAACCATGGGCAAAAACATCTGGAACCACTTATAAAAACCACCCCGTATCTGCATGAACTTTTTTGAACCCCACTGCTATTCCAAACAACGCGTTTTTCTGGACCATTCCAATTCGCCTCGTAATTGTAGGGGTGCGTCTGCGATATTACATTGACCGCGAAAGCAGCAACGGCAAAAATACACATTCGTGCATCAACACGGGCATGCCCGCAGACGGCGTATAAAATTGCGTGCCGATTACACAAAGAGAACCCAGTGTTTTGACTGCGAACATGTAAAATCAGCCGATTACAACACTCCGTCCGGAGGTCCTGACCTCCTTCACGGAGTAATAAAGTAGTAGAAGCGGCATCGAATCCTGAAGAATAGTTACGATGAAGTTTTACCTTATGCAGATATTGATCAAGGCACAGGACTTGAGTCGAAGTAGTTCTTCTACGGCTGGAAAGTTATCCGCGTCTGTTCAGCCTTTGGACTTGTGACATGTGGACATTTGTCGCCCCTGGCCAATAGACCATTGAACACCCAGCGTTACGGCGTGCGTACGTGAGCGTTACCGTGCGTACGTGATCTTGATTTGATTTGATTTATTGAAATTGCAAACAATACAATACTCGTGGGCCACAGGCAGCGGGGGCTGCTGTTGTGGCCCACACACAAGACAATTATAAGCACACAAACAGGACACACATTTAGACCTAAACAATATAAGTACATAAAAAATAACATAGATTAGAATATACAATATTTATCAGTCCATTTAGTAGTACTTGGTACAGTTCATGCGGTTCCTATACTAGCCGCCAGATTTTACGGTGATCTCACGGTGCTAGCCAAAGTTTAACCAACCAACCAGGCCGTCTGTATTATCATGAAAGTTCATTTGTGTTAGCACATCATGCTTTAATCTACTTTCCCCAAAAAAATTTGGAAAATTTCCTACCTGTGACGTTGTTCTTAGGGACTGTACGATATTTACCGGGGGGGAGGGCTGGTGCACTGGGGGGGAGGGCCATTGAAAATATTTTGGCCTGGGGGGAGGGCCATGGAAAAAATTTTGAGTCGGGGGGAGGGCCATCGAAAAAAAAATCGGCCTGGGGGGAGGGCCACCGAAAACCTTTGTAAAATATGGCGTCGCGTTGTACCGAATTACAAGAAATACGCCGTAAATTCCCGAATATAGTACGCACTTTTTACATTTTTCAAAATCCCAGAAGTGTCTCGGGCCGTCGCCAAAGTCGCGGTGCGTACTTTATTTGAGTTTTCCGCCGACAAATCCGTGAACGACCCAGGAATATAGCGGAACACCGGCACGGTGAGCTTGGAACATCGATCGTCCATAGCATGTTTAGATAAGAATATTGACGAGTGGAAATAAAGTTAAACTTCAATAAATGAACATATTTCCTATGACTATCGTCGATATTGACACCAAGTTGCGGTAAAAGAAGAAGTCAAGTCACCCACGGTAAGAAAATGTAGGTCTCTGGCAATGACGCCCGGCGCTTTGTCATGCCGACAGGATCGTTCCCCAGCTAGCCGGCGCCGATCTCAGTGGAACCCCGGCAAAAATATAAGTACACATACAATTGTTGGGTTTATGAGTGGTAATATTTGAAATGGTCCGCAAGCCGTGAACGTTCTTGATCGTCGTAACGTAACATGTGATAACATAACAGTTGTGCCTCGACTGATGGCCATCATTTCCAATACACTTCCGGCTTGAGTTCAACTCAGGAATCTTCAACAAAGATTATGCCCACGTCGTTTCAAAGGTTCAGAAATTGTTAACCATGTTTCACTTCGTATCACAAATATTTTTAAATCTTGATAAATGCCACAGGAAATTACTTTGTAGCGGGCTACACCAGCCAGTACGACGTGAAAATTCCAGCTAGATGTACTCCTACTCGACTGTTCGGCAAGCTACAATGATAGGGGCGGAGTTAACTTAAAATGTAGCCTTTGATGAAATCTTACCGCCCGGCCGGCGGTGGGTGGGGTGTTTGGCGCGCCGACAGGCAAAGTACACCTACAGCTGAAGAACACAGAGAGGGTCGTGGCATGCGCAGCGCTGAGGACAGCTTTCCAGAACATGGACCCCGAGAAGGAAGTCTTTCTTTCCTCTGAACAGACTGTACTTATAAGTTTCACGGAGTACAAATTAATAGTGTTTATTCCTTTGATTTTGTGACAAAAACATCTATCACATAACGAGAGATTACTTGAAACGCAGTCAAACTTGTCACTTTCTCCTGTTCGGAATCGAAAGTCCCATTGATCCCAGTAGTCTATTGTTGTTGTGTTAATTGGTTTCGGTGTCAAATTTTAAATTCGGTAGCACCTCAACACCCAAATACTCCGCCCAGTTCTCCGCCTGTATGATTGTTGCTCTCCATGGGTCAATCGCGCGGGCGCTATTAAAGAAGTGTTCGGCGCATTTCGTATTAAAAACATTAAAGCTACGTACTTGTGCATCAACATTCAAGTACCCCCCCCCTCGTTACCGATAAAATCGATATTGAAATATTGTCTTTTTTTCACGAATCGTTATTGACCATGCTTGCTTGATCACCAAGTCACCAACACTCCAAAGCTGGATCCAAATCTGTGCGTTAACGTTTCGCCGCACTTGCCTTACCTTTCGATGCGGTGGTGACGTCTTGCAAGTCGGCTGCGGCCGGCGGTGAAAAACAAAACGAACTTGAAACGTTTCCCGCTACGTTACCATACCATCACGTAGTACACGGCATAAATCTAGTTTTTAACAATTTTAAATTTGTTTGGAACGACGAACTGTCATATACTACATGTTCACTGTGGTACCGGCCGTGCGTAGAAGGGGTGCGTACTTAATTGGAGTTTTTCCATTTTACGTTTCAGACGGGAATATTTGTCTCCCACCAGCCCCAAATCGGGGGTGCGTACTTTAATCGGGAATTTACGGAGGGAGAAAGAGACATGGACTGGAAAAATGGGGGGGAGGGCCACCGAAAAATTTTTTGGGGTGGGGGGAGGGCCATTGAAAAAAATTTTGAGCCGGGGGGAGGGCCATGGAAAAAAATTTTGAGCCGGGGGGAGGGCCATGGAAAAATTTTTTTACCGGACCATTTTGCACCAGCCCTCCCCCCCCGGTAAATATCGTACAGTCCCTTACTACTACCAGTACTGGTCGATTCTCTGCAAAGCATGTCTCTGTTCAGTTACTTATTAACTTAACCGTACCTGTGAACAAGGGTCATGTGCGGTCAAAGGAACGCTGCGGGAGTCGTGGAAAACTACAGATGGGAGGGAAAATGTCTTTTTCACTGCGAATGTTCACTCTGGAAATAAGTATACCAAACATATTAGTTATGAGACGGCCAACGTTTGCAAGCAAATGCAATTCATTTCACCCCCATACCTGTTGATATGGACCTCTGTGTTCAAACAACAAAGCATCGTTCTTAACAATTTGCAATGTGACGTTTCTCGCACATTATTTTTATAAACACACAACTGTGATGAGATTCAATGAACAAGGCTAAGAGGTTCGCCCTAAACTATATCTGAAGTACTAAGTATGGATGGTAGAGGGTTCTTGGATACATAGATATGTTGCGCCGTGTACTATTATTATATCATATCATGTCATATTCATATAACGTAAGTGAAATAGTTTTATAAAAAAAAGTATGACACTGTATGTTGCGACGTTGCGTCATTTGACTGCCGTTTGGAGGAGAATGTGATCATCTGATGTAATTCATGCAAGTTGGGACCTTATTTGCATAATCAATGAACTCATTTACAAACCGTCAGGCGTAAAATTTAACATCATTTGGCGAAGGTGTGAGCTCGTAGAACTCTAGTTTGTTATGTCCCGACTTCATATCTATGAACATTTGTACTATGGCCAATATAGAAGAACTTTATTGCATGACAATTGCACATGGTACAATGTATGGCAAACTACATAAAGAGAGTAACAACAATAAAATAATTGTGTTGAATAAGACCTAATGTCGAATAAAACCTAACATTCTATATCATAATTACTCAAATAATAAGGGATAGCACAAGTCTTTGATAAAGTGTTACAATCGAGTGGGCTAAGTTTATCTATTTATTATATATATATTATATATTATGTAGCATCTTACAAAAGAGAGAATTATATAATTACAACAGACAGAACCATTTAACATATATTATTTCATTATGCCATTTATGTTCATATTTCTGTAGTGACTGTCATACTTTATAGAATAGACTAGAATATTGAATGGCTTTGCCATATATTATACCATGTACAACTGTTGAGCAATAAATTCTTTCATTCATTAGATTTTAAAGACCTCATGACAGGAAGAAAAGTACCAGGTACATGACTTGTATAACATACTTTGACATTACGCCAAAAGTAGTTACTCAAGCAACTGGATATGATTTTGAAAACGTCAGACGTTTCAGCTAGTATCCACTTAGGCTTTCGAATTCGTCAGTGACTGAGAGACCAGAGGGGAAATGCAGGTTTATAAGCACAAACTATTGATTGATATGCAAATAAAGTGAAGACAAATTTTTTGGAAGTTGAAAAAGGAACAAAAGTCAGACAAGTCAAGACAAGATGATGCAAATTAGTCTGAAAGCTCCTGTTGTACATTTCCTCTCTGGTCTCTCAGTCACCGACGAAAGCTAGTGGATACTAGCTGAAACGTCTGACGTTTTCAAAATCATATCCAGTTGTTTGAGTAACTACTTTTGGCGTATCGTATTACCTGGATGTCTAACCTTCATCGACATACTTTGACATTGTTTATAATCATAATGACTGAGAAATTACGGTTATCCAGGTAATACTAGGTTATGTCTCCTACGTACAATCTGATAAGGTCGTATTTTGGTGTCATGAGCACTTCCCAATAATGAGGAAGGTAACAATGTCATGAAAACTGTGCACAATCCCATCCTAACGTATAATTTGGCAGAGCATTAATTGCTTTGTATTCACAGCTGCAAGACATTTGAAACCTGCCAGTCTTTTTATTGCGTATTTTATCTCAATCAGATTTTCACCGTCACTCTTTTCCAGAAGTCCATAGCTGAGGTGTTTAGTAATACTTGATTGTTTATTTATCATCAGATTGATGTTTTCTTCAGCTTCTTGGCGCCTGTTGCTGTAGAAAATATGAATGAGAAAAAAGAAAGGGTTACATGGTATATATTTTAACCCGTTAGGAGATCAGGACAACTACCAGTGCATGGAAATGACTCTGAACCAACTTATACTAAGAGTTAAAGTGACAGTTGCAAATTAAACTTTGCTAGAAAACGGGTAGATTTCACAACATAAAAAAGAAAGATGAAGCCTTTATTATTAGAACTCAGCAAGCAAATCTACATGGTAGTAATACAGCTTGCTATGAGAAGGATATAATGACTTTAGAGTAGTGCTGTGTACCAGTTTGCTGAAAGTACATGTACTGTAGTTCAGACTTGTAAAAATGTTTAGGTTCTAGTCCAAAAAACAACTGAATGCCTGGGACTAGTTCCTGCATAAACCCAGTACATGGACCAGTGCAGGTTAGGTGCAGGTAGACATCAGAAATACCTGCACAGCTCCAATTTTACCTGCACTAACCTGCATATACCCAGTACATGGACCAGTACAGGTTAGGTGCAGGTAGACATCAGAAATACCTGCACAGCTCCAATTATACCAGTCCTACACTAACCTGCATATACCCAGTACATGGACCAGTACAGGTTAGGTGCAGGTAGACATCAGAAATACCTCCACAGCTCCAATTATACCAGTCCTACACTAACCTGCATATACCCAGTACATGGACCAGTGCAGGTTAGGTGCAGGTAGACATCAGAAATACCTGCACAGCTCCAATTTTACTAACCTGCATATACCCAGTACATGGACCAGTGCAGGTTAGGTGCAGGTAGACATCAGAAATACCTGCACGGCTCCAATTTTACCTGCAGTAAGGTGCATATGCACCAAATATTTCAAGACCTGATTGTGGTGCCAAAAAACTTCCTTTGTTGGGGTGGGGGTTAGTTGCCTACAGAGTTGCTACTTACCCACAACATGGCACACTTCTGCCTGGGCTCCCAGAGACAGGAAATAATCTAACCACAGCATTTGCTTCTGAGACAGCCTGTCGCCTGGCCCTTTTACCTCCACCACCTGCACAGAAACATGGAGGTTAAGAGCACAAAGAAAACCTGTAGTTCACATTACAATGTAATTATGGCTTCACCACTAAGTGGTGATGTCATATTGTTTTTCCTCATGTTTCTCCTCCTCCTCCTTCTTCTCCTCCTGCCATTTCTTTAAATTGATTTTAATTTAAAATTAACTCCTTCATTTTTGGTCCAAATAACGTGAAATTTGGCATGAAGGTAGAGTGGGCAGATACCCCCAGGCATATTTTTTGTCATTATTGTGATACAGGCTTTTAGAATGGTTTTATTTGAGCTGATTGGCTGTTAGGATTCAATTGAGTTAACTCAATTAACACCTGTAAAAAGCTATTGACAGTACGAACTGCATTCAAGTGTTCTGGTATGTCAAGCTTTCCTGCTCCAGCATTGGAATGCGGGGCATAAACGCTTCTTTTTATCCTTGAAAATCAACAGTTTGCATTATGCATATAAAAATCTGAACCGATAATGTAGGGGATATACTAGTATAGCAGTCCAACTGTTGTCACTTCATACTATAGTTATATCAATGTAAAGAATTGTTTTCCCTTGTGTTTCTCCTTCTTTCCCTGCCATGTCGTAAAATGTGGTGAAGCCATCCGCTACATTTGCTCCAAAGCAAATGTCGGCCTTTCTGGTATTATAAATAAATTATAGATCTTATCCACAGAATCTCCTGGGATTCTATCAGCTATTTATGCATCCATTTGCAAGAGACTTGCATGACATCTTTCCCCCTTTTAAGTTTCTCCCTGGTGAGTCAGACTTATGTAACTGCATTTCAAAACAACTAAAAGGGGGAGGGTTAATGCCCTGTGCATAATCATGTGAAATGAACTCTTATTTGGACAGTCACTCATTTAAAAGCCGCTAGAAGCCACAGGCAATGAGTGGAGTTAAAAACATTCTCCGGCGTGACAACTTCATCTTTACGGGCAGCTAGGATTAGCATCAGGTGGTAGAATTGTCTGTCAGTGAAAATTTGCCTTGGAAAGGTTCCAGGTTCGATCCCATTGACATGCTCGACGTTGTGCCCTTGGGAAAGGCACTTTACATGACTTTCCTACGTGTACGGTGGAGTGATGCCCACTGGGACTTCCAGCTGATTGTTAACTCCATGAAAAATGGAGGTATTGTTTTTGGTGTGTGTGTGTGTGTGTCCGTCTGTGTGCGTGTGCATGTGTTTGTGTGTTTGTGTTACATTACAATTACAAGTGTTGCAAAACTATCAACCTAAAACAATAATCATAATCATAATGGCAATAATGATTATTGTATAATAAAAGTCTATAAGGAGTATGCAGGGCTCTAGCCAGGCAACCAAAGGATGTCATCCATGATCAAATCAACATGGCCTTACCTTAAACTTTCTGGACACAGTGCTCCACACAGTCAGGTCTGGCAGCCCACTCCTGCAGTGCCGGGCATCTCTCAGTAACCGGGCAAACACTCCTGCAAGGAACTGGCCACCCATACATGCTACCAGACCCTGCATGCATTGGGTAACAGTACATGTTTGAACTTAGTAGTTTCACTGATTCAAGAAAGTTCATCTTGGTCAACACATTGGGTAATTTTATCGGACTATGGAAAAGTGCCTGTTCCCTAAATTCTAATGTTACAGTCACTGTTACAGTAACAGTTATATGAAATGTCATATGTTTTGATATGTTCACACTGCACGAAAAACGATATTTAAGCATCCTTAATGGTGTTCGTAAATAAGGCTTAAATATTTCAAAATAATTAAGCATTATTTAAGTCACACTTAAGCCATCGTAAATGCCACAATCGGCAGGCAATCTTTACACTCTCTTAAAGAACAACGTAAAGTCTACTTAAACATAAACGTATCCTTACTTGATCTTTAAGGTCGCTTAATGTTGCAGTAAAGATAAAGCACTGATTTGCAGCAGTGTACTCACATGTGTTCTTGACTACGTTTAAAACATAAAGACTTAGAAAAGTATGACTTTGGCAGTTACTTTAAATTGTTTTAAATAAGATGCATTTAAGTGTGCGTAACGTTAGCTTAAAAATGAATATTTAAGCTTATATTAAGCTACGTAAATGGCCGACGTGCCGACGGCATGACCTCCCGTGACTGCACGGTAAATGGATTTAGACGGCCCAACGTGCACGGGCCAGCCTGGGCGTGGCTACGGCGACACCTCTTGTAACTGTACCGAGGGAAAGGTATCGACAAAGCCCCACGCGCCTGCTTGGGCGTGCCGACGGTATGACCTCCCGTGACGACACGGTAAATGGATTTAGACGGCCCTGCGCGCTTGCCCAGGTGCCGTCTGCAAATACCTGACCTGTACTGTACTAAAACAATAATCTCATCCGCTCCATACATCTCCCAAACAAGCTTTTGAAATAGCGAATTCCTCAGTATTATATCGTTCGATTGCAGGTTATTGCAGACTTTTAGGGCGAATTCTCTGTTACTTAGAAGTTCGCAAGGATTTCTTGCCTAGCCTCGGGCACAAATGCCGGACAGGTCACACACGTACACCTACAGCACGTTACTTCATTTTCAGAATTTGTCCCTTTTTTCTCGCACTGTATGTACAGTAAGCTTGGCTACATTTTATTAGCCGTGGACATCACACATTTACGAACCTAAGTATGCTAGACAATTCCTTCTGGGTGTCCTTTTCGTGTGTTTTAAAAAAATCACAAAAATGTAGTTAATGTTTCTGTCAAGCAATGCGCTACTGCCCGGTTAAAAAAACCGGCCAGTTTTAGCAAATACCGGTCCTGTACTAAAACAATAATTTCATCCGCTCCATACATCTCCCAAACAAGATTTTAAAATAGCAAATTCCTCAATATTATGTCGTCCCATTGCAGGTTATTGCAGACTTTTAGGCCGAATTCTCTGTTAGTTAGAAGTTCGCAAGGATTTCTTGCCTAGCCTAGCCTCGGACACAAATGCTGGAAACCCGGCCAGTTTTAACAAATACCTGACCTGTACTGTACTAAAACAATAATCTCATCCGCTCCATCTCCCAAACAAGATTTTGAAATAGCGAATTCCTCAGTATTATATCGTTCTATTGCAGGTTATTGCAGACTTTTAGGTCGGATTCTCTATTACTTAGAAGTTCGCAAGGATTTCTTGCCTAGCCTAGCCTCGGACAAAAATGCTGGAAACCCGGCCAGTTTTAGCAAATACCGGTTCTGTACTAAAACAATAATTTCATCCGCTCCATACATCTCCCAAACAAGATTTTGAAATAGCGAATTCCTCAATATTATGTCGTCCCATTGCAGGTTATTGCAGACTTTTAGGCAGATTTCTCTGTTAGAAGTTCGCAAGGATTTCTTGCCTAGCCTAGCCTCGGACAAAAATGCTGGAAACCCGGCCAGTTTTAGCAAATACCGGTTCTGTACTAAAACAATAATTTCATCCGCTCCATACATCTCCCAAACAAGATTTTGAAATAGCGAATTCCTCAGTATTATGTCGTTCTATTGCAGGTTATTGCAGACTTTTAGGTCGGATTCTCTATTACTTAGAAGTTCGCAAGGATTTCTTGCCTAGCCTCGGGCACAAATGCCGGACGGGTCACACGTTCACCTACAGCACGTTACTTCATTTCAGAATTCGTCCCTTTTTCCTCGCACTGTAAGCTTGGCAACATTTTATTAGCCGAAGACATCACTACAATTTATGAAAGTATGGTATATTCCTTAGTAACAATATATTTGAAATCCCTCAAAACTTGTATGGTCTCATTACAATTTTGTGGTGTATCTATTTAGAGTAAACAGAAGAGACGCACGGAACCAAAGTTGGACAAACGAAACCTTCCCAAAAACAGCATAGATGTATACAATATACAATACTATATATTATAGATTTTTTGATTACGGCGATCAGGCGGTATTTTAGTGTAATGAATACATGTACATTGTAAGACCGATTGAAGTAACTAGCCCTTTTTTAACCTCCTTGTATATATATCGCCTAATTTTGTTCGATTTTTTAATTACGGCGATCAGGCGGTGTTTTAATGTAATGAATACCTTGAAAGACTGACTGAAGTAACTAGCTGGGAAGCATTTTGTATGGAATTTATGTAGCCATTGCAGCAAGATTCTTCTGTTCATGTTTTTTTAATGTCTATTGTTTTATTGTGAAATGCCAGGATGGTCCCAAGCTACCTAACAATGGCTGTCTTGGCACCCCCGCCAATTTGCATTAGGCAGACAATTAGCATTTAATTGGAGCCGCCACCGGCTATGTAAATTCTGACCTAAAATACTAGTAAGCCAATCGTCTCATACCCCGCATGAAACGACAGCCAATCAGTGCTTGTGATACAAATTTCAAATCTGTCAGTTGGAGTGGACGTCACTCTATGTTTGAGCATTGCAGAGTGTGCACTGAGCAATCTAATCTTCTATAAAATGTCTACGGTTTCTGGAACCATGAAAAAGGAGACGATGAGAACTTAGCCATCATCCTCAGGGAAAAGTACGGCTGGAAGAATTACCTCCCAAGCAGACTCCAAGAGCAAGACTACCGCTAGGCTGAGCAGAAACATGCACGGGGAACCCTGCCAGATAGCCCGACGCCACCCGGCGTCTCTCGCCAAGGACGGAAGATTTTTCATGTAAGCGGTTCATATTTGTTCCATCTGGTTTTTGAATATTGACATGTTGTACATTGAATTTGTTTGCCACTTCCTTTGCCTTGTTTTCGTCGGAAAATATCTAACGAACGATTATGTACCATTTCAGCAAATGGAGAGGGGACATAGAAAGCAAGACAGCGGGACCGGACAACATACACACAAGAGACAAATCCCCGAGCCCACTGAAAGCGTCGAGGGGAGAGCTATATCCGCCCGCGCGGATGTCCCACTAAAAGGAAACAGCCGCTCTAGCCACTGGTAGAAACAAACGCCGGCCAGCTAAAAGTCTACACAGGAGGATATCCCTGGACGCTGTATGTAATACCAGTGAGGTCCGATCCGGGCACTAGCCTCTACCAGGCTTTGGGAGGCGGCCGGAAACAGTAGAAATCGGCCAAATAGAGAGATAAGCATGCCAAGGGAGTTTGTCTCAACGGACAAGCCAAGGGAGTTCTCCGTTGAGACAAACTCCCTTGGCATGCTTATCTCTCTATTTGGCCGACTTCTACTCTTTCCGACCGCCTCCCCAAGCCTGGTAGAGGCTAGTCGGGCACCCGTCGGCAGGTGTCCGAGGAGCCTCCCAGACAGAAGGGGGCTATCAGCAAACGGATCAGAAGGACTTTTACACATGAACCGGCTGGTGATCTAGACAAGCATGAGCAGACAGAACAACAGCTTTTATTGTAGTATTGCCTTGATAATTTTGAACATCTACAAGCAATGTTGTGCAGACAGACTTTCAGTTTTAATGTGTTTTCAACAAATTGGTAAGCTTTCGTAATTGCAAAATATTTTTGCGGCTAAAAACAAGTTTGTTGATTTTCTTCCTGTTTGTGTGATTATCCTAGTACATTACCTGTTAAAAATGAGCTTTAACCAGCTTTCTTGTTTTTGACTGTTATATGTGAATGCTGCCCGAAGGAGGTCATATATGTATATGTGAATACATGTAAAAAGAATGCTGAATAAAATTGCGTACCATTTGTCGTATATTACAGAATTTAAGAATGCTTTAAGGTGCTTATATGTGGCGTAAACATTACGATTTTTAAGCTTACTTTACAGTGCTTAAAAGTTGCTTAAATAAGTGCCATTAAGGACCTTTACGGATAAATTAAGCTAGCTTAAATCACTACATTTAAGGATCCTTTAAGACGCTTAAATGTAGTGTAAACATTACGATTTAAGCTAACTTTACGGTGCTTAAATGTTGCTTAAAAGAGTGCCATTAAGCACATTACGGATAAATTAAGCTAGCTTAAATCACTACATTTAAGGATCCTTTAAGACGCTTAAATGTAGTGTAAACATTACGATTTAAGCTAACTTTACGGTGCTTAAATGTTGCTTAAAAGAGTGCCATTAAGCACTTTACGGATAAGTTAAGCTAGCTTAAACCAAGCTTAAATCACTGCATTTACGGACACTTTAAGACGCTTAAATGTACCGTAAACATTACGATTTAAGCTAACTTTACGGTGCTTAAATGTTGCTTAAAAGAGTGCCATTAAGCACATTACGGATAAATTAAGCTAGCTTAAATCACTGTATTTACGGACACTTTAAGACGCTTAAATGTAGTGTAAACATTAAAATTTAAGCTAACTTTACGGTGCTTAAATGTTGCTTAAAAGAGTGCCATTAAGCACTTTACGGATAAGTTAAGCTAGCTTAAACCAAGCTTAAATCACTGTATTTACGGACACTTTAAGACGCTTAAATGTACCGTAAATATTGAGATTTAAGCTTACTTTACGGTGCTTAAATGTTGCTTAAAAGAGTGCCATTAAGCACTATACGCACAAACTTAAAGCTAGCTTAAAAGTAACATTTAAGCACGCGTAAAGATTGGCTTAAATTTGCTTAAAGAGTGCCAAAACGGAACCTTTAAGCATGCTTTAAGACTGCTTAAATACCTGATTTCGTGCAGTGATCATTGCTGAGGTTATGAAATGTTCTGATATACATGTACATGTATGTTCATTTTTGTGGTCATGCTTCATAAGATTGACTTCAGGATGCCTGCACTTTTCAAGTGGACTGCTAGGTGTTCCCTCTTATTACACTTCAGGATGCCATGTTGCAATATTATCTATATCAACCAGTTTCACAGGACTTTCAATTTACAGCACAGTGGTGAATTCAAAACAAATCTTCCCTATTGCTTCTACCTGTCAAACCTGTCCAAGCCGGCCACCCAGGGGACCAAAGAAAAGTGGTCGCCTTGGACAGGTGGTCTCCTTGAAGAGGGTCGCCTCACAAAATGACTGAGACATAAATGGTTTCCAAGTCGAGATGTTTTAATGTCAAATGCTGTAAGCATCTTCAGTTCTGTGGTGAATGCATGTGGGTAGGGTAGCACATGGAACAATTTACATCGAACAAAAACACCATCCAACAGTCGAGGCAAACTGGCTGGTCGTGTTGGCCAGGTGGTCGCCTTGGACGGGTTGCTTAATGCTTGTGTCAATAGGGAAAATTTTGGGGACCAAGAAAAGGCCAGGTGGCCAGCTTGAAGAGGTGGTCACCTTGGCAGGTTTGACTGTATTTAAAAAATATGAATCATTATTTTTAAAAGGAATTGAGTTGAAGTTAATTTCAAAGCTTTATCTACAATGTAAAATTAATGGTAACCTGTGCATGTTCCACAGAAGTGAACCTGTCCCAGTTGAGTCCAGCACAAGCCTGGCCTTCATGAGTACTCCAACTGTCACTAACCCAGTCCTGCAGGGTCTGAAAAAATGGTTGCAAAGCCAACAAAAGATTTTTAGAACTACACTTGATTTGATTTAGATTTATTGAAATTGCAACAGTGCAATACACGCGGAACAGAGGCAGCTGTTGCTGGTGTTTAGTCCCGCACATAGAAACGAATACTCGACAGACATTACTCAATTCACTTGAGTCTAGTGGGGAAAGTCGTGTAAAGTGCCTTTCCCAAGGGCACAAGATCAGTGGCATGTCAGGACTCGAACCCGGGTCCTCTTGATTCCGAGTCACAAACGCTGCCGTTGCGCCAATGGCCAAAAATTCATGCGCGCACGGATGTCATCCATTAATCAAATCAACATGGCCTAATTCATACAACTCAAGCTCCATGCACGTGTCATTTAAAGGCCTCCAATGCAATTTCAGGGCACCAAAACAAAAATATCCTGGATGAGGAAATCTGTCTGATAGTGCTTAGGATTACTACAATTTCATGGCACATTTTCGTCATCATTCCATACTTAAAGTGACTGTTTGAAATAGCCCAGAAACAAGCCACGTGAGGAGTCCCTTTATTTTTTGGGTACCACCCATAAATAGCAATACTACCATTTCATGACACATTTTCATCAATAAAGACATCATTAATTTCATACTTAAAGTGACTGTTTGAAATAGCCTAGAAACAAGCCATGTGAGAAGTCCCTTTGTTTTTTGGGTACCACCCATAAATAGTGAGAAGCAGCCTACGATACAAAAGAAGCAACCATTTTCTACTGTTTTAGTTTTCTTTTATTTTTCCCTGTCGCATGATAATTTTTCTGAAAAAATCCAAGAACCAACAAATTAAATTGGCGTGGCCTAAATATGTATTTTGTCATAATGATTGTGTTTTACTCTATATGTTTTTATGTTTTTGAGTAGAAGGCGACATATACTGGTAAGCAACAGTTACTGTGCTTCTTGCCTAATACTCAATATTAAATATATGACTGTCAATAAATTGAAACTAAACTAGACATTTGTTCGGGAGCAAATGCAGCAAATGGCTTCACCACATCCCCCGTACCAAATGGACCTGCCCCCCTCCCCACAGACAGTCCTGTCCAATACTTTATTTAGAAAAAAAAGTTAACATGCCTCCCCTCTTTATGAATGAATTCTTCTAGTGAACCCACTAGAGAAGCAGAAGGAGAAGAAACATGAAAGAACATCACGAAATAATGTCAAGAGATACCTGACTGTCCGCCTGTCTGACCTCCTCCAGCCTGCTGTCTATAGCTGTCCTCCGGCTGGTGTAGAAGTCATCAGTATATCTGTCAAGGGGACAGGACTGGGGAACACATTCACTGTTAGATTATACACCTACTGTTTTATCCAGTCAAGGCATTGAAGACAGATTGTATAGTACTTATTAATAGGGACACATTTTTCCACTCTTTTTAAACATAATTTACAATGTATATTATTATAATATACATTGTAAATTATGTTTAAAAAGAGTGGAAATAGTAATATCATATACTGGGTATTTTTCATCATATTCAAGCAGTAATAGGAGAATTTGTAATTGTTCTACTTGGTGAATAAAGTTTAAAGACATTTAAGACAGATTGTATACTTAGGTACATAATAGACACTGTGTCTATTATGTACCTAAGTATACAATCTGTCTTAAATGTCTTTAAACTTTATTCACCAAGTAGAACAATTACAAATTCTCCTATTACTGCTTGAATATGATGAAAAATACCCAGTATATGATATTACTATGATAATAATATAAACTAGAGTTCCACGATCTCATACCTTCGCCAAATGATGTTAGCCTTTATGAGTAAGAAATTATAGATTAATCCCCCTGATTGTGCAAATAGGATCCTATATTTGCATCAATTATATCTGTTGATCATATTCTACACCAGAAGGCAGTCTTATCTTATCAAAGAATGCCATTATAGCATTTCCTCATAAATTATGCAAATAAGGTCCTTATTTGAATAAGTTATGTTTAATTATGTTCACCTTCACATAACTTTCAAATATCCCAAGTATGAAATTCCAGGCAGTTACCACTATGTAAATATAACATTTTCTCATTAATTATGCAAATTAAGTCTTCATTTGCATAATCGATATCTGCCTGTATTTCTGCCGTTCTTAATTACATATGTCACAAGCTTGAATAGTCCTATCATGGAATGCAGCTGATTTATAGAATTTCCTCATTAATTATGCAAATTACATTAATATATGCATGGTTATAATATCATTATGTTAAGCACCACTTCAGCTACCTACATGCCAAAAATCACGACGATCCATCAATCGGTTCTAGAGTTATCCGCCTTTAAATGTTTTTCAACTAACGCCCCTGCAGTTCCAGAGCAAGTCGCTAGGGAGGCTAAACTCACATCACTTCTTCCCCAGCACAAGAGCTACCTACCATCCAAATTTAGTCACCCTAGCATGTCTAGATCACGAGATATCAAAACCGGGAGTTCAGCTGCAGTACCATAACAAGCCGCTAGGGGCCCAAAATTTAATCAGTTCCACGTCTCATGAAGACCTATTCACCTACCAAATATCAAGACAATCTATTTTAGCCTTCTTGAGTTATCGTGCTGACACACACACACACACACACACACACACAGACACACGAACGCCTACGAAAACATAACCTTCTTGGCGAAGGTAAATATTATGTAGAAATATTGAATATTTCTACATAATATTTTATATTATTATCATGATAGTAATATCATATACTGGGTATTTTTCATCATCTTCAAGCAGTAATAGGAGAATTTGTAATTCTCTTACTTGGTAAATAGAGTTAAAAAGACATTTAAGACAGATTGTACTTACAATAATACATACGTATTAGGTACATAATTCTACTCTTTTTAAACATAGTAATATGATCTGATACCGGGTATTGTTCATCAAATTCAAGCAGTATACTTTTATAATAGGAGAATTTGTAATTGTTCTACTTGGTGAATAGAGTTAAAAGTCTACATTTAATTCAATAACTAGCCTAGAGTGAGCTGACCTGGTAAGGACTCCTGAAGACATCCGCCACTCCCTCCATGAACACAACATCCCACAGCAGCAGCAGACACAGGGTCCAGTAGGTACTGCCTTCTCCATGGATACCTGAAGATACAAAGAGATGTCAATGAATGAATGAAGACCTTTATTATGTTTACCGAAGGAAATGATATATTGTTTTTGCTCAGTTTCTTCCTCTTCTTCTCCAAACAGTGACCTCTGACCTGGCCAATGGTCTCATTCATCTGTCACCATAGTAACTGGTGTTGGGTTACATAATGTTGCAATTTCAAAGTAGAAATTTTGACTCCTGTCACCATATACATGTATGTGTTTGAGTAAGAATTAACAGAGCAGACCATATACGAAGGTAAACATTATGTTAATTTTCTAGTTGACATTTGAAATTCATACCCACAGGGTTATGTGCAGGTCACATACAGCAACAGAATGGCTTCTGTATATTCTGTATCAGTATAGCCGGTATAACCGCCCTTCGGCGTAACACACCAGCTTCGCAGGCATACAGTGCAGGCTGTGCAGCGGTAGCTAGCTATATCACACCGAACGACTTGTTGTGTGACTTAATCTTTGCACATTTAATTGCAGGAATTGTTTAAATCTTTCTAGTGATGATGCCCCAACTGGGCTTCAAGTGGCAACGAGTTTCAGACAACAGAATACTCTTGTTTAACTCAAGGAGGTTCAACCTCCTTGTTTTACTCAAGGTCTTTTACATGTAAAAATGTCATTCTTTTACTGGTTTTGTCTTCATATGAGAGCCCAATGGATTATCTATTCTATGAGCTGTAAAAAAATTGCACCTCTACTTACCCTTCAGTTTATCATAATACAAAATCTGATACAAACTGTAATCAGCGTTGAGGCCGCAGTCTATTACGTAGGGTACAGAAAATAGTACGGATACGGACGAAATCTTGTAGCATTTGTATACATTTTAAAATGAAAGGCAGTGAGGCATAAACTTTGCCGTATGGTAGTATAATGAGTCGACTTTTCGATCGTATGAGTAGGATTCTAAAGTTTGCTCGTTGAGTGTATAAATGCGCCTGTCTTACGCAACTGCCTTCCAGGGTGAGTCGGCTGCAGTTCCGTTGACCCCGGTAGAGGGACAAATAAAAGAGGGCGTCATAATGTTAAAAAACCATAACTTTTTTTTGTTTTCAGTCCTTTTGCAGGTTATACCCTAAATTTCAACATATTAGTTGGTCGTGTTCCTAAAGTGCACCCTACTATTATTCTACTGCGTCGAAGTGAGTCACCTTGGGGTGCTTAACTATAGGAATCCCCATAGGCCGAAAACTGTGTTCTGCTACCTTGATTGTAGGCAGGTCAATCACAACCCCCTTCAAAGCATTACATAATGGAAGGAAATTTATCATATGCACATCTTGAACAATAGAAGTGTCTGAGCTTATTAGATATGCCCTTCTAATCAATTCACAGTCCACTTGGCTTCCAATACACATGCAGATTTTTTATCTTGGCACTAATCTTCTCTGACTGGTTTATTTCTAAAAGTGTCGGCTAAATTTGCATGTGAATGTGTATTGGAAGCCAGACAAGTTATGTGTATTGAGTAGGGCAGATTGTGTTACAATCATGACATTGTCACACATTCAAAACATTCCCCCGTACACTTATCATAAACCATCTATAAACTACTGACCAGATTTAGGCCACATCTACCTTTCTATATGAATCAAATCAAAAGTTAAACTTGAGTCAAATTTGTCAGCCAACCACTGACAGCTAGTTGAAGTTATAATCAACAAAAAACCAGCCAACCAACAGCTAACCATAGCCAAACCTCCTGTACACATCCAAATGTTTTATTCATTTTGAAATATTTGACTGGAACAGTCAAACAGTATCTGTATCGGTATAGCCAGCATAACCGTCCTTCGGCGTAACACACCAGCTTCACAGGCACGCTGTGCGGCAGCAGCTAGCTATAACACTCCAAACGACTTGTTACACACAATCTTAAGTTTGCACATTTAATTGCAGGAGCTGTTTTAATAAAGCTTTCAAGTGACAATGCCTCAACTGTGCTTGGTGGCAACGAGTTCCAGTCTATGATCATCTCAATTCTTGGTTGATAACTCCGATATTTCTTCTTGTTCTTTTCTGGGCTGGTATCAGATACTTAGCGGTTGGTATGTCCACCAGTTTGTTACTTTACCCGGTCCGATAGTCATTTTGTACATCATGCATTGTCTGGACATTTTTTGTCTGTCTTCCAGCTACCCCCACTGTAGCCGGCCTTGCTCCTGACCAACTCCTAACCATGCATATGGTTGGGGGGAGTTCGGCTGGTGTTCAGGAGGATAATATGTGTGACAGGGGTTTAAATTACCTTCCTCGTAGCCCTGTCCTCTGTAGTGGGCCAGTGAGAGCTCCTCTACAGAACAGATGGTGACGTCCTGACTGTCCTCTGTGTAGGAGTCTGTAGTGATGAACACGTTCTTGTAGCCTGGTTGGTTTACTGGGTTCACTCTTCCTGTGATGGTCACCTGAAGAAACAACATTGGAGCAAGGAGCTTAAAATACAATTCTTGATTGGAGCTAAGAGTTCAAATAACTACTGTAACAACTTTATCATTTACAGTACCCAGTATATCTCATTTAAAATGCTGTTCCTAGAATACCTGCAACTTTTAAGATATCTTACAAAATAATAGTACTTTTTCCAGACCAGTTAGACCATGGAGGTAAATGGTTAAGACTAGCCAGTTGTTAGTGCTTGAACCCCACAGACTCAGTGTAACACTACACCTTTTCTTTCTTTGTCCTCGAATCTCTGAGTACAATATCACTGTGCAGCACATTTTGCACTAACTCAGAGGGCCGGTAAGGGTAATCTCCAGGTTTTTTTTATCTGTTTCTACTCACTCCTCCTGTTTCTTACATTCAGAACAATAAAATTGGATTTTCAAAGTCAATGTACTTGTCATGCTTTTGATGTAGCAAGTTGAATACTTGGTTGAATCAACGCTATTCCACAGCTCATAGCTCACAGCTGATATCTGTGAGGCAAAAATGTGATGTCACCAACAGAAAACAGTTTGCTTGTTTCGTATCCTAGGCTACATGTATAGGAGTCTGTAGTGATGAACACGTTCTTGTAGCCTGGTTGGTTTACTGGGTACACTCTCCCTGTGATGGTCACCTGATGAAGATAAGTACACACGAGCAAGGAGCTTAAAATATAAATCTTGATTGGACCAAAGAGTTCAAATAACTACACTTTATCATTTAATTATTTATGGTACGGTATCTCATTTAAAATGCTGTTCTTAGAATTGTGACCTGCAACTTTTAAGATGTTGCCACTCAGTTTTTAACCATTGATATTTTTGTAAATAATGTATTACATTGTGTATATACCTTGAAATTGCATTGTACAGTTTTTTATGTTTAATGTATTATACTTGATGTTGATGTACAATATTTGATGTTAATGTTCATTACTGCAATTTGGTTTGTATTTAATAAATTAGTAATCTGCTTTTATATTCTGTATGTTGTGTTTGGGAGGACAACTTGTAAAGGTGTCAATGCACCTGTTTTGTCCTCCCTTCCACTTGTATATCTTGTGGTAAATTCAAATAAACAAATAAACAAATAAACAAAAGATCTTACACTATTTAGTACTTTTTCCAGACTATGCAGGTAATTATGCAATTGGTTAGACTAGCCAGTTCTTTAGGTGCTTGAACCCCAATTAACACTACCCCGCCCCTTTTCTTTTTTGCCCTTGAATCTCTGAGAACAATATCACTGTGCGGCACATTTTGCACTAACTCAGAGGGCCGGTAAGGGTAATCTCCAGTTTTTTTAAAAATCTGTTTCTACTTGCTCCTCCTGTTTCTTACATTCAGAACAATAAAATTGGATTTTCAAAGTCACATGCTTTTGATGTAGCAAGTTGAATGCTTGGTTGAATCAACGGTAATCCACAGCTCATAGCTCACAGCTGATATCTGTGAGGCAAAAATGTGATGTCACCAACAGAAAACAGTTTGCTTGTTTCGTATCCTAGGCTAGCTCTAGCCATTTATGGGTGGTACCATAAATAACATAGTGCTTCACGTAGTTTGTTTTGGCGCTATTTCAAATGCTTGAAGCTATGACATGGTGACGAAAATATGCCAAAAAATGGCAGTACTGTCAGTATTCAGATTTTCTCATCCGGAATATTTTTTTTTTTGTCGCCCTGAAATTGCATTCACCCCACTAGCCCCATAGCTGTCCGGTGAAATTGCATTGGATGCCTTTGATCATACAAAATTTTAAGTACCGCTTCTTTTGAATACATAAAACCCGACTAACCTTGGGTAGGTCTCTGAGAGGCAGTGGAGGTAACTCAGCCTTCCTGGTCCTGAGTCTGGGGTTGTTGTTGGAGTCACACAGACGATGTGCCCTGATCATCAGGGCCAGTCTGTGGCCGGACCTCACCTGGGGGTCAGCAAGTCCTCTCAGAATGGCCCGTAAAGCCTGGAAAACAATAATCATTATTAGCATGAAAGTTCATCTGTGTTGATACAAATCATTATGAAAGGAAAGCTCAGAAGTCTCACAACATATTCACATTGAGTCCCCGGGACATTCAGTATCTCTAGAAGGGGTAAAAATCCTTGATTCTGAATCGGACTTCTTTGCAAGAGGACAGACCTACCCTTAACAGAGACGGGGGGCGACACAAGTTATCTGGCACGTATGACCTGCTACTACGGTCACGTGTCTCTGACGTCACGTTTCAAGAGTAGATGGGTCCATTCCGTGAACAAGGTTGATGGAGTCAACCGAAAATTTGGGGTAAGTCCCAATTCTATATCTAGTGTTGGAAGTTAAAGTTCAGTCTTTATTTCATAATAATCATTATTGATATCAATGGTACTTTTATTTCAAATTCATGCCCAATTTTCTGGGGAAGTATTGTATGACTTCAACTTGAAATCAACTTTATTTTGCTTATATTCACTCCCAGGGGCACTATAATTGTAGACAAAAAATTTGAGGGGGGGGGGAAACATATATTTTACAAAATTGCATGTTGGCAAACATTTTGTAGTGCATACTGTGCTACCAGTGTTTAAAAGCAATAAATCTAGAATTTGTTTGCACAACACTTATGGGTGAAACTATGGCCTGACATAATTAATGGAGGCCAGCGCAAATTTTTTTATCTCTTAGGCTTTGGGTGGTTTAGAATGAAAGTCGGAATGTGATGTGATTAGTTCCCAACATTCAGGTTTTCTTGGACTAAACATTTTTACAAGTCCAGAACCGGTCCGTTAACGATGTATTGTACATCAATGCTCACTTGTTCAGGTTGCTTCAAGTGGCTCTCCAGGTTCAGAGCCAAGCGGTCGTACCACCTCCCGTGGGAGTCCGGGCAGTACAGGCTGTCTGACAGTAGATTGTTCAGGAGGTCCACCGCCTCGCCGTACCGACGTAACTTCTCGTACACTTCCACCCCCCGGGACAGGACGCCCGTGTAGACCCAGGACGCCGTGTAACAGCGCAGGAATGGTGGAAGACTAGCATCGTACCTGGAAAACAGTCAAACTCTTATTCATGAAGAAGATTCAAAACATTGTGGAAGGATTGACATAAAGGATTGACATTGTGGAAGGATTGACATAACAGGTCACTATCACTATAATGATAATCATGAAAGTTCATCTGTGTTGGTAGTTACATGTCCAGAGTTAAAACTTTTGGTCCAACACAAAAACATTCTCTATCACCTAGAGCTTAATTGACCAGTCACTTTGGTCTTCCTCAGTAGACTGACCCAGTGAAGCCAAGCTTATGTCACGTGGCTTCTTTGGACCAAAAGTTGACTTCTGAGTCAACAACCCTAACATTTAAGTTAAGAGACTACAAGACCACCTTATTTCAGAATGGATTGCAGCATGATTATATATGTTACAATAATTATTATACTATAATTATAATCATTATACAGTACTTAAAAAATGTTACTCATACCATCTACATGTACATGTAATTTGGTTATGATAAAAAAAATGAAAGCTTGCATGTTTTGAGTCCCAAATGACTGTGTGTTGTAGCCTCCTTTTCAGGCGTTCCTGGATCGGTCGTTTTTTTTTTGTTTAGAGGGGGGGTAGATCGCACGCAATAGAAGCTCCAGCCGGCAACCCTACATATATCCACGGAGATATATGTAGGGTTGCCGGCCGGAGCTTCTATTGCGTGCGATCTACGTTTGATCAGAAAATACCCCCCCCCCCAAAAAAAAAGACCGATCCGGGAACGCCTGAAAAGGAGGCTAGTGTGTTGTGTAAATTCATCCATTGTTTCTATATCTGGTACCATCATGATCGTGGTGTATTCACAGGCTTTCTTGGAAATCAGGTTTTCAATAACTGAGGGATCATGGAGAATGCTCAGACAAAATACGGGCAAAACGTTTTTGTTTTCATGAATACACTGTCCTTACACTGGGACCCATGGGGGACCAGCTATTTACACATTTGAGGTCACAAATAGGCATAAAATTGGTGTGAAATTGTTTAGGTACAGTACCAGTGCTGAGGGATTAGGTATTTTGGTCCTGTACCTAAGGCCACACCAATTTCATTTCTTGGTTAACGGATTTTTCTAGAAAAATAATGGAGCAGGCGGGCGAAAAAAAAAATAAAAATAAAAACAGGCCTAGGCATCCTATTATGGCCTAAAATGGTATGATAGGAGCCTTGAAGTCAACACACCAGGCTGGTTCAAAATTTAAACAATGAATTTTGAACTTTTAACAATACCATTGCATTGAAATATGGAATAACTGTAACAACTAGGAAGAAAAGGACTGTTTTCAACTGTTCAGGGCAAATTATGAGCATTTTGCAGTTGATTCTGAATTTTTATTTTTATTTGCAAATCAGAAAAAAATGAAGCGGGCGAATCCGTTAACCAAGAAATTAAATTAGTGTGGCCTAATAAATTTTTTCCGGTACAGTATCGGTACTGCATATAGGTATACAGCCCTACCAGCTACCTTGCTATCTCTAGGTCTTGCTTGACTGTGGAGAAAACTTCAGCGGCAGACAGGTACAGCTGGTGGGCCAGCTGGAACTTGTTGGTCTCCATGGCAACTGTGATGTCATTCTCAAACTGCATGGCTTGCTCATACCTGGAAAAAAAGGGATATTTGTACACTAACTGTAAATCACTTATTGTTTGCTGTAGCAAAAGTTTGCAGTCTGAGAAAAATGGACATTTCCAGAACTATATACTATAATTTAGTTACAGTAAAAAAACAAGTCGGTGAATCATTTATTCAAGGCAATGTTAAGTTTGCAGTACAGAAGTAACTGCAAAAAACGCTAAATATAAACTTAAAGTACTGAAAAAAATTGTGATTTACAGTAACCTTTACAGTTGACAATTGGGCCACACCAATTTAATTTCTTGGTTAACGGATTCGCCCGCTTCAAAATGCTCATATTTTGCCCTGAACAGTTAAAAGCAGTTCTTTTATCCCTAGTTGCCCACTTCATTATTTTTCTAGAAAAATCCATTAACCAAGAAATTAAATTGGTCTTGTGGATGTGGTTGCCATTTGAATGATCATTGCTGCCTGACACAACAGTATATATCTATATAATTATAGCACATGATAGTAATAGGTTATCCAGCTAGCAGGTAGATATTGCAAAGGGCAAATCTTGTGTATCTGTTCTACATTGTGAGCTTTTTTTCTGATCCAAACATAGAGAGACTGACGGTCTATTTGAGTGTGCAACACATCAGGTGTGAACTGTCATGAATGTGTTCCATGCTTTCTCAAATAAGGCCACACCAATTTACTTTGTTGGTTCTCGGATTTGCCTCTTCATTTTTTTCTGATTTGCAAAAAAAAAAAAATTCTGGTTCTGAATCAACAAAAAAAGGCTCATATTTTGCTCCCTACAGTTGAGGAAAGTCCTTTTCTTCCTAGTTGTTGCAGTTTTTCCATCTATCAATGCAACTTGGTTTGATTAAAAGTTCAAAATTTGTTCACTTCATGGCTCCAATCATTGTATTTGAGGCTATAATAGGATGCCTAGAACTGTTTATATTTTTTTTCGCCCTGTTGCTTCATATTTTTTCTGAAAAAAATCTGAGAACCAAGAAATCAAATTGGTGTGGCCTAATATGTGATTCAAACAAGCAATGCTGACTGCATGGAATAGAACAACAAAATCCCTCTGAAATAGAAAATACTGCTGACATTACTGGCCCAGAACAGAGTGTTGCTGACGTGGTTCCTTTGCATGACCCTTGGCATTTCTGTGATTAAATACCGACTGGCAGACACTAAGCTAAACACATGTCCGATCTGACTCAAGGGTTCTTTTTCATGGGAACGTTGATCTTTATCTACAACAGGAGGAATTTCCTGTTATGATCAATTGTCGCTCACAGGTGGAAAGACAGGCTGTATCTGGGCAAATGTCATATTCCAGGTTAAAACCAAGAAATTATGTGTCTGACCTCCATGCAAGCAGATAGAGGTGGACACCAGATAATCTCAGAAAAGATATGTGGCACTCAGGGTGCCTTTAATACATGTCTATTCTCTGTGTTTTCTACTACTAATACCTGGTGAGTACTAAGTTCTAGCTGTGCATATCTTTTGGGATGGTGATGTCCAGAAGAAAACAAACCATTTGAAAGATGTAGAAGACACTGAAACATGAAGGGGTCCCAGGAGTAGAATTAGACAACCCTGGCTTTGGGAATCGAACCCTGGCTGTACATGTTAAAGCTTAGGAAGCCAATGCCTTAACCACTAGGCCAAAAGCTCTGGGCCCGTCAGAGGAGACAGTTGGTAACACTTGAAACTAATACACTACTCCCCCTTTTCTTTTTCAAGATTTGTCCTTGAATCTGTGAAGCATACATAAACACATGAGGCGGGTCAGTAGAAAGAGAACCACTACGTAGGCTAAGAGGTGACTGTCATCTACATAAGTTTTAAACTTACCAGTAATATGTCCGATGCAGCTTTTAAAGAGTTTGACTCGAACAAAAGCTATTCGAAGACGGACCTAAGACCTAAAGTATGCAGGGAAAGACTTTACCACCACCAGACTAACAACACGGGTTCAAAATCAGTAAAATTTAGCCAAATGGGGAGAATAATTTGCCAGGAGAGTTTAGCTGACTCTCCTGGCAAATTACATATTTTTAATAATCATTGATCAACATTTATTTCCTTTTTTTACCTTATTACGTATATGATCCATACTCCTGGTGGAAGTTACAGGGAAGAGCTTTTTGATAGAAATTAATCCAAGAGGTGAGTATCCTTGAGGTAATCTAAGAAATCTCAGAATCAGCACTGTGCACAGTTTTGCTAACGACCTTTGGGACCAAGTTGTGCTTCGGGTTCCAAGAAGAGCCAGGAGCTTGAAGGGATCAGCCTCACCCTGGGACATTAGCCTCATTGTGAACCCTTCCAGCTAGCTGAGTCATCCTTCAGTCATCTGCAAACATTGCTCAAACCTTGCAGCATTAGGCCACACCGATTTAATTTCTTGGTTAACGGATTCGCCCGCTTCATTTTTTTCTGATTTGCAAATATAAATAAAAATTAAGAATCAACTGCAAAATGCTCATATTTCGCCCTGAACAGTTGAAAACAGTCCTTTTCTTCCTAGTTGTTACCGTTATTCTATCTTTCAATGCTATGGCCACACCAATTTAATTTGTTGGTTCTCGGATTTTTTCAGAAAAAATATGAAGCGACAGGGCGAAAAAAATAAAAACAGGTCTAGGCATCCCATTATAGGCTTAAATGCTACAAAATGAGCCATGAAGTCAACACAAAAGGCTGGGTTAAAATTTAAACATTGAATTTTGAACTTTTAATCAAACCACTGCAATGATAGATGGGAAAACTGTAACAACTATAGGAAAAAAAAGGACTTTCCTCAACTGTTGGGGGCAAAACATGAGCATTTTTCAGTTGATTCAGGACCAGAATCAAATTTTTTTTT